TTGCTCAAATATTGATTCAATACATTACCTCGGGCTGACCAATTCATTTCATCAAGTTCCTTGAGATATTCATACACTTCCTAGTATAATTGTAAACTTCCTGTTGAATAGTTTGAATGCACCAATCACCTTTGTTGTTTGTGCAACTAACCAATCATAAATAGAAAGGAAGTGACCAGAAATGATCAAATACTTGGAATTGGCTCTTTCACAAGAAGTGTATGAATATCTCCAGGAACTTGATCAAATGAATTGGTCAGCCCGAGGTAATGTATTGAATCAATATTTGAGCAACACTTCAATTGGAACGACAGTAAAACTAAAGAAAACTAAAACATATTGTGTTGAGAACTATCAGGGGGGGCAATTCTCGACAGGCGGACTGTGATTGGCTGAGAAGCACTTTCAGCGGTCCATTATTTTCCCGCAATGGACCGGCGGTCCATTACGTAAAAACAAACGCATGCATTTTAAAATAAAACAGCAAAACTAATTGAAAATTTTAAAATTATAATTTAATTTGTTATCGATAAGATATTTGCGAATGGGTTTTAGTGGAAAAGAAGGAATACATTGGTATTTTTTTTTCTTCGAGCAAATGTGTACCACGCTACTAATATGCATTTCAAATCATGCATTTCTTGGGTTTTTTTCAAGTAAAAATACCTATAAATGCCATATAATAAACTTTTTATTAACCTCGCTTGCTCGGTATGTACAGAGAAATATCGGACCTCGGTCTTTTTGTACAAACCTCGCCCTACGGGCTCGGTCTGCACAAAAAAAGACCTCGGTCCGATATTTCTCTGTACAGACTTCGCGTTCGGTTAATAAGAAGTTATTAATGAAACAATAAAAACAGTCTTCATGCACAATGACTATAAAGTCCATATTTTTAAGATCCTTACCATCCACGTACCAGCGCATCTTACATAAAATAGAGTGAACTTATTAATCTAGTGCGGGTATAGAAAGAAAATATTTCAAATAGCAAAAAAAGAAGAATAAAATAAAAATAGTCTATACTTAAGAAAGCATTTTTTATCGCTAACTTTACAGATGCAGGGACGATTGTCTTTTCGTCAAATTCCCGTAACCGTGATATTTGATGATTTTGCTGATATTTATGAACAATTCGCACTGTATGTAATTTTGTTTATTGTTTGCTTAATTTTGTTGCTCGGTTTCTCTACTCACTGGCATTTGTCCGCCTGGTGCATGTCGTGTTGAATGATACATTTTTTAAATATTATACCAATATTGGCTCACTATTGGAGAATTTCTGTCATGTGACATCAATTCTCTGCTAGTGTGTTTCATGATTATACTTATTCTACTTTTCATAGCTGAAGCCAAAACAAGCCAAAACTTGTAAAATAAAAATATACTAGGTAAGTTACAAAACACATATATCTTCAAAAGTAAACTAATTGATAAAAAAGACAATCAAAAGCAAAACAGCTGTCTACCTCACGGTTAATTTAATTATCGGGCATATATCCATTCATATTTTTCTGCAAAAAAAAGGCCGAAATATGGGAAAAAATGGACAACTGTCCAATGTGGTGAACAAATTTATTTTACAAGTCTTAAAAAGTCACAGGTCATTGTAAATCAATGGACATTTCAAGCCACTATATTATCATTATTATTTTTCAAATTTAAGAGCAATCATAACAAGACATTTGAGTCACCTGTTAACACTTGAAAGTTCAATAGCAATTAAATAACACAATAATGAAATAATCAGTATGACAAGTTACAAACACGTTTTTAGTAATGTGCAAATGGTAGGAGGTAAGTGGATCATTTTATAAGTATGTTTTCACTGTTAAATTATTTTTTAGAAATTTACTACAATAGTTAGGGTTAGGATTGGGAGTGAGACAGGCAGGCCTAGAAAATAAATTTCTCTTCCTGCCAAAACAAAAATTTCCTGTGTAAGTTAAATATAAAACGTTCTGCATGTGTAGATTTCAGAGAACGCATGGTGGATTTCAGAGAATGCATGGTAGATTTCAGAGAACACATGAGAGCTTAAGCTTCGCGTTATACGTCAAACGGCAAACGCCAGGCAAAGAAAAATGTTGCGGTATCAGGCAATAAAGAGTAAATGAACTTGCTGTTTTAAAACTGCACTGCATGAGTATTCTTTCGACATAAGAAAGAAAATATGAAACAAAACTGTTCAATGAAAATTTTGCCAAGAAAGTTCAAACCTGCAGTTCCCGGAAACGTGAAGCTTAAACTCCCTATTGTGACAAACAATTGCGGTGGACTATCTCGACTTGCAAAATGCTTTTGCAAACAATAAGTAAATAATATGGCACTTCAGTACACAAGATAACAAAAACTTCCTGCTAGATATAAGATATTTTGTTAAACATTTCCTGACCGCTGCTGGATATTCTCCAACACTTGGCTGGTTGTCTAATCATGCATGGTGAAGACAAAATTATTTCAGCTTCCTTTACAAATAGTGTTTACCTCTCTCATGAAATACTGTTTAATTAACAAGGTAGGTCTTTGATGGGAATAAAAAAAATGGAGGAGGGAAAAAGGGGGAGATACTTTCTTCATAATGTACAGTAATGTGCTAGCTGACATTAATTGGCTACAGCCACAGCATGCTTTTATCTGTTTCAGACATTCAGTTAAGCCCCCAGTTAAACAAGGGTGTTAGAGTTGATAAGAGATGGCAGTCACACATTGTTACAGTGTATATTAACAAAATAAAGGTTTGATGAGTCTTCCAACTATGTTTTAACTGAAATAGAAAACATGGTAGTGTTGGGAGAGCATAAAGAACAGCTAACCAACTACCAAGGTTGTGTGATTACCAACTTGCATGCATTCTCATCCTCGTTTGATCCAGGCTACATTGTTAATGAAAACAAAATATCTTTCTAGCAAAGTTTTGTCTCAAACAGTGCATGAACACAAATACCTAGTATTCACACTACACTTATCAGCCACAACTCTTTACTGTATGTGAATTAACATACTCCTTGGCTAAGAGCTTACATATAACACAGTTATCAGTGTATGTTGAGTCTGGGATGCCTAATTGCCTACATAACAAATGGTACCGGTATCTTTATACATACAAGAAAACAACATGGCTGAATGATGATTTCTTGAATTTGCATCTTTTTAGAACCTGGATTATTATAAGTTTTGCTGTTAGGGATTGTGGACTTGTTCCGTGCAGGGGGGAGAGGGTTAGCTCAGAATCCGCCATTGCTAAAAAGTTGGTATTTTTCTGGATAAACTAGATGTTAAATGGTGACATTGTGGGATGAAATCAATTGATTTGTCAACCGTCCTTCTACATTAAAATAGGTGTACAAGACAGGGGGCAGGGCACCTGTCCGCCAGAAAGCATCACGCCAGTCACTTGTGGACATTAATATTATTGTACAATTTTAATTGTACAAAATATTTACAGACAATTTTCTAGCATCTTTAGGTGAATAATTTAAACAGTAACCAGAAAAATTATATTAAAGAATTTTAGTGCCTGATTGCAAGATGAACATCATACTACCATCATTCAGTTGCCATGTGGGTTTGATAAATTATATTCATACTCTAACACAAAATAGTTTGATAATTGATTTGCAAGTGAGTGATAATACATAGTGTTCTTTATTTCTTAATAGATATTAAATTATTGCAATATATTGTACTTAACATCAGGAGGAAATTAATGTTAATTTTGCTAAAATGAAATAATATATTTAGTCAGACACTTGAATGATGGCTATAGAACGTCAACTATATCAAACAATAAATCACCATATTCTCAAGTTATTCTATAATAAAAATTTTATTCTTAGCTTTATAAAGACAATCTTGATATCCAAACTTTACCTCTAAAGCTTCCTTTGTTAGCGGAGTACGCTCAAGAAGTCCAATAACCTCTACAACGGCCGCCATGTTTAAAACCTGAAATAGGCGACAAAATTTCATTGTTAAAAATTTAATATTTTTAGATCGAAAAAAGAATCAAAATTGAACCAATACATACATTTCCCTCTGGGTCGACTGCTTCGCCTAATTTTGTTTTGATTTCTTGTGGCGAGTGCTGCATTAAGACCCGAAATGTTGCGTTCGGAGTCCCTTTTCAGGCCATGCAAGCTGAACCAAGACATGACGATCAACACTTGCCGACACCAACCTTTATAATGCCAACTGGCCTGACGTCACATTCACCGAGATCCCAACTCTCGCCAGTCTATTTCCCTTACAGCACGACCGAAAGCTTAGTACTCCAGAATTCTCCCGCAGAGAATGGAGACCATACAGAAGGCCGCTTTACTAAAAAGCGTCGTCAAGTCCGACTTCTTGCCGGCGCCTATGATTTTTATTTTGACGTAACCCTGTGCTGCACTGTGCAGTGCTGTCGCTATGTTCCTAGCCAGTGCGCTACGAGAGACATTCACCCCCCTGTAAATATTCAAGATGCCAGATGTTCAGGGGGGTGAATGCACTGGGTGAATGCCTCTCGTAAGCGCCACAGAATAGATACATAGATATATGTATCTTTGTATCTACTCTGTGTAAGCGCACTGGTCAGAGGCGTAGCCAGGGCTGGGGCCGGGGGGCCCGCCCCCCCCCCCTGGCAAAATTTTGGCCCCCCCCTGGCAAAATTTTTGGCCCCCTTGATAAAATGTATTGTACTAGTAAGGGTACCTGCAAGGTAGGGATTGCTGCGGGCATCGGGAGCAAATAGAACTAAAAATAGTACTAATTACAGATCGTGACTAAAACACCACACGAGTACATACGAGTAACACACAAGTACATACGAGTAACATACGAGTACATACGAGTACATACGAGTACATACGAGTAACATACGAGTACATACGAGTAACACACGAGTAACATACAAGTACACACGAATAACATACGAGCACACACGAGTAAATACGAGTAAATACGAGTACATACGAGTAAAATACGAGTACATATGAGTAAAATACGGGAATTAGCACGCTTTCTTTAACGTTTCTTTCACTTTCACACTTTCACTTTGGCTTCGTATTATGTTCATGTTGTAAATGCCTTATTGACATAGGCGTACGAGACAGGGGGGGGGGGGGGGGGCAACTGCCCCCAAAATTTTGGAAAACCATGGAAATTCGGGCAAACGCTAGGAAAAATCAAGAAAATTCGGGCAGATTTATGAGAAAATATGTTAAAATCAGGTTATTTCTTTACAATTCTCCATAAAAATTCAGGCAAACTTTCAACTGCCCCCCCCCCCAGAAAACATCAGCCCCGTTCTCCTATGCGTATTGATGGATTTCGAAGCCTCGCACGACGTAGAAAAAGTAATTCATTAATATAGAATAAAGATTTGTATGTTCTAAGACTCTAAAAAGGTTTAAATGTAGTATATTGCTCACAGGCTGTCAGAGAGTTTTTGTAGTACATGAAAGTGCATGTTTGCCATGTTGTTTATACGTCTGTAGTCTATATGTTTTGCAAATTTAATACGTGAATTGTACACCGGGAAACATAAAATACTCAGGGTTCATTATTTATCGGTTGGGGGGGGGGGGAGTAGCTGGTGGATTCTAAAATTCAAATAGCATAATAAAAATGACCCTCCCTTTTAATGTGTTTAAAAATGTAGTCCACCCCTTTAGAACAGTCTGAAAATTTTTCATCCCCCTCCAACATTAAAGTTAAGAAGAACATAGTATGGCCGTATGGTAGTTCTTCCCATCCTATTCTTTTGTGTGCTCTTTACAACCGGGGGCGTAGAGAGGACCTTCAACTTGGGGATGCTGCACAGGATTTAGCCAACGGGGGGGGGAGGGGGGTGAAATAAAATCCAAATCCACAATATAATTGTGTATAATGTTGTCTAAGTAAGTAGATATGCCCCAAGAAGAAAGGGTTTACTTTGGGTTTTTAAATGTAAAATATATTTACTTTCAATCATCATTCGGTTTTAAAAGTAACTTGCATTATTTTAATCCATCATTTTCCATCACGAAAAATCATGTCTTTTATGCATTATACAGTCTTCGGACTTATGCAAACTCACACCCCGATGGTCCCTGAAATGCAGGAAATCGCATTTCGGGGACCCTAGATTTCAAAATATTCTGGGGGAGCGTGCCCCCAGACCTCCCCTAAAATGGCTCACTCCTTTTACGCTGGCTACGCCACTATCTCTATACTATCTTCTTTATATCAATGCTATAAAATTTTATTGTCTCCCCAAAACACTTCTTAAAAAGATTTAAACCACTCTTTTTATTTTACACCTATAAAATATATCCCCCCCCCCCATTATTTTACCAGCGCCCCCCCAACCGATAAATAATGAACCCTAAGCATTTTATATTTCCCTGTTGAAAACGTATTAACAGGTGTACAATTGACGTATTAAATTTGCAAAACACATAGGAGAACGGGGTTACGGGGCTGATATTTTCTGGGGGGGGGGGGGGCAGTTTGCCTGAATTTTTATGGAGAATTGTAAAGAAATAACCTGATTTTAACATATTTTCTCATAAATCTGCCCGAATTTTCTTGATTTTTCCTAGCGTTTGCCCGAATTTCCATGAAATCATGTAAATCAGGACAAATCTTTATCCGATTTACAAATATTGATTAAGCATTCATTTCTTTTGTATTTTCCTCATGAATTATTAATGAGTTTTTTAAAGTCTGCATATTATATGCCAAGTCTGCAATTTCAGTTACATTTTCTGCAGTCTACACTATAGTTATACTGACTGTATGCTATTTGTCATTATGTTCCGTTAGTATGTGTGGTAAAATTATATTTCTGGAAATGTAAACAGCATACTGAAGTAATCAATTAAAAATTCTGTAGTGTATACAGACTATAATAATACAGACCATGCACGATAAAGCGTCGATGTGGGCCAGGCATTGCTTTATGGGCCCCTTATAGTGTGCACACCCCTTAGTACTTTCAGGTCAGTTGTCATATCAACTTTGCACTATCCTTGGGATCTCTGAGTTTTTTGGTTAGTGTATGCCATCACTCGATATATCGGTATCAATTACGAAAATAACAATAGTTTATATTATAAATACGGCAACAGTAACTTCTAAAATTAGCACTAATTATTCTAATTCCTTACTCCTGTCAATCAAAAATTGAAAATCAACATTCTGACCAATCATAATGCTCCGGCATCCAGCTGCCGGGGAGAACTCAGAATGTGTAGTTTTTGGGCAGGCGGTATTTCTAGCTTCCCATTCTCTCGTGCCCGCGAATACCGCCTGCTACGCAGGCTACCGGGGGGGGGGGGGAGATACACCCTTTGATGGCGAACCAGACTCTTCAATTAGCCGCTTGGCATGTATCAAGCGATACATGCAGACGCTTCCAAGCTCATCTTGACAGCTTGGCGGCCAGGCACAAACGCAGTTCACAACTCCACCTGGAAAAAATGGCATAGCTAGTGACTCGGCCGGGAAATTGGTCCATTTCGCACCTCTTTGGCCGATATAACTAGTTTTCTTGCTCATTCGTTCAATGAAGGATTAGAATATAGGACATTGAATACATATCGCTCTGCATTATCAGGCGTCCTTCCGCCTATTGACGGTCAACAGCCATTAGTCATTCGATTGCTAAAAGGGGTTCGGAATCTCCGACCCGCGCTACCACGTTATCAGCAATCTTGGAGCGTGGATACTGTGCTGATCTATTTGCGCTCACTTCCTAGAAACGAAGACCTCTCATAAACTCCTAACGCAAAAGTTGACTTAACCTGAGTATCGGGCTCTATTTTACAAATAGAGCCTGACACAAAACTTAACCTGATCGCTTTCCACCCACAGCAAAGTTTATATTTAGTATCCAATCAAAATGTCGCAGGAGAAATTTAAATTTCACACAACGACAACAACAATCTAATTATAGCATAGCAGCCCACTAAACGGCTGAATTTAAATTAAAACTGCAATGAACTTATAAAATTAACAAATATAATCACAGATAAAATAGCGAAATATATTGCAAATGTAGCTTATATTAAATCGCCACCCGATTGCTCTCTCCTCCGCAGAGGTTTCAGTGACTACAACGAGCTTTACAGACTTTACATGCCGCTTTAATACCGTATTTATCAACAAACTGACGTATAATTATAAAGTATATATATATTAAGTATACTTTATAACTATACGTCAGTTAGTCGATAGTGCAATCTGATGGCGATTTAACATAAGCTACATTTGCAATATATTTCCCTAATTTGCGATTATTTTCTAATTTTACTGCAGTTTTAATTTAAATTCAGCCGTTTAGTGGGCCGGCTATAATTGTAGTTGTGATCGTTATAAAATATATCAACAACTGACAATAATATAATCTAATTAGCACCAGCCAATCAAATGACAGATTTAAAAATCGTTTGTCTAATCGGCCAATCAGACGAAAAAGCCAGAATCTGGCTTTTTACATGCGCCGCGGTAAAGAATTGTATCAGGCCCTCCTTCATTCGCCGCCGCCAATTAATCCTGGCGAATGAAAACATAAGGGCCTGATACTCAGGTTAAAGTTGACTATTTTGCTTGCTCTTACAGCACCTAAACGCTCTTCAGAGATGGAACTTCTGGTTTTGCGCTATATGCGCATCATGCCGGAAGGGGTTGAGTTTAAATTACCAAGGCTCACAAAGACGTTTTCTGAGGTAACCCCAGAGTTGGGATACCCAGCTGGGTTCTGAAGGAAAATGCTGATCTACTGGCCGATCCTGTAAAAGAGATTTTGAATCTTTCGTATAGAGATAGCTATCTTCCGCAGTCTTGGAAAGAAGCGGATATTGTCCCTCTTCCAAAGCAGAAACCTGTAAAAGACGTGAATAAGAGCCTACGCCCCATTTCATTGACATCTGTTGTATCAAAGGTGGCGGAGGATTTCGTTGTCGAAAATTTTGTTAAACCTGCTGTCCTTAGAAAGATTGACATAAATCAATTTGGAATGATTCCCAAATCATCAACGACTCATGCACTAATAAGCATGATACATAAGTTGAAAAAACAAACGGACGGAAGCGGTTCTATGGTGCGGGTCTTTCTTTTTGATTTCAAAAAAGCCTTTGACTTAATTGATCATGGTATTCTCGCAGACAAGCTTACTACCTTCGAAATACCAAAGCGAATCATTGGGTGGATCGTTAATTTTCTCAAAGACCGTGAACAGCGCGTCAAGTTATGCCAGGATTGTTATTCTGGATGGGGTTTGGTTCCGGCAGGCGTGCCCCAAGGGACTAAATTGGGTCCTTGGCTTTTTGCTATAATGATAAATGACCTAGAAGTAGCGCATATAGATTTATGGAAGTATGTGGACGATACTACAATCTCCGAGACTGTCCTTAAACACGAAGCCAGTAGCATCCAATCGCAGGTAAGACGAGTTTACAAGGAAATCAACTGCAAATAAATTTCAGTTAAACGAAGAGAAATGCAAAGAGCTTCAAATTACCTTTGCAAGACCTGGGCGTACGTTTACACCCGTGTATGTTAAAAATAAGCCGATCGAAGTTGTCCCTTCTGCAAAAATATTGGGCATGCGAATTACGAACGATCTTAAATGGAATACCCACATCTCAGAGATTGTGAAGAAAGTTTCAACAATACTCTTCTTTCTTTGTCAACTAAAAAGAACAAAAATCTGTACAAAGGATTTACTAACATTTTACCTGACCTGTGTGCGTCCTGTGATGAAATATGCTTGTCCCGTTTTCCACGACTCCTTACCCAATTACCTATGCGAAGATCTGGAGAAGTTACAGAAGCGAGCCCTTCATATCATCTTCCCAACGTTACCTTATGCAGAAGCTTTGGTAGAAGCGGAAGTTGACTCATTATTTAATAGAAGACAAATTCTAACTACTAAACTATTTAATGACATTGCAAATGACGAAAGTCATAAGCTTTACCAATTTCTACCAAGTAAGAACTTTTCAAATTATAATATGAGGAAAGAAAACATTTTTAACGTTTCTATTAGTAGGACGAATAGATTTAAAAATAGTTTTATACAACATAATTCTACAATGTATTTTTAGATAAAGTAAATATTTATTGTAAAGTTAGTCTATCCTATCTGAAATATAATTGAAGATTTTGCAAGGGCGCCCGCAGTAAAGTCAAGATTATATGGGAACACAGAAGTGAGATATAACAATCCCACCCTCCCGCCCTTTGGGATTACACATGTCTGTTTGTTTCTTTAGATTGGTTGTTTCAACTTTGGTGTGGCTATTTTGTATCACATGGAAGTAGACTATTCAAGATGACTATTTACCTTAGTTTATTGTTATAGAATAATTTAAAGATTTTACGAACTGAAGCTATATCGCGAGGTCGCTAAGCTATGACTTTTATTTTAGTACTTAGGCTTCATCAGCTGTGTATTGTGAGTTATGAGGAATAAAGCATTGTTATATCAAACTTCTGTGTTCTCATATAATATCGACTTTACTGCGGGCGCCCTTGAAAAATCTTCAATTATAATCCATCCAAGTTGTTTGGACACATTCGCCATGGTCCAAATAATGAAAAAATTGCGACTGTTGCATAATTTCCATTGAACAATGATGAAAACATGCCCATATTTTAATACTTTTCGCTCACTGGTTAGTTGCCATCTTCGATTACAATTATCTCAAAAACATTATGACGTTATTTGACTCATCACAACATTACGTTATTTGTGCTGTAGCTGACGTGACCCGTGCACAAACATATACATGCACAAACTTACAAGATATCAGGGACCGGATGTATAAAACTCTTAATAGAGAGGTTAAGATACCCCGGTTCCGATTTACGGGTACGAGTATCGCCATTTTGTTTAGCAATTTTTGCTGATGTCAGCATTTTTACCCGTAATTTCTACCCGTTTCCCCGCGGTAAACCAAGGTCTACACGTAAAAGACAAACGGGTACGGGTGTTTTCTGTTTACTATATGTGGGCCGTTTAAATAGTAAAAATTTTCAACATCTTACCCAAATAAATAATGCACATATGCTCGTCTAAAGTTTTCAACAATTTATGGCGAACCTGAACAGCGAAAGTTACCATTCTCTGATCGGTTTTCACGCGCAGGAATATCTTGGATTTCTTAAGTTACAAGTCGTTCCCCGATTTACGGGTACGGGCACGTGTATATCACCTGTAAACCGGAACCGGGGTATCCTTATAACCTCTCTAATCACTTTTTTAATCACTATTTTGTTGTTAAATAGTGGTTAACTTTAATCACGTAGTTAACTCGGTTGTATAAAAAGTGGTTAGCGTTAACTGTAGTTAAAACGTATTTAAAGTTAACGATGCTTTAGGGTATCGTTAACTTCTCAAAACGTAGTTAAAACAACAATGAAAAGTAATGCTTACCTGGAATTTTCAATCGCTATCTTCCCTGTGAATGTTTTCTGACAATATAAACTCTTCAAACGCTATCGTTTTGGTTTTTCGGCGAAAACAAAATATATTTTTGCACGGGAAGATTTCTCGAAGACGACGTAGGGCCGATTACACGAAGAAACATGATATATAATTGCCAAACAGTTACACTTTGGTTTAACGTAGACATCTCAAATAAAAATGGCCTTCTTCGTTGATTTTTTCCTTGTTTTCTAGTTTATTTTTCACTGTTTTGAATAAAATTCCCGCCTATTTGCAAAATGCGAGTCCACAATCGTGTTAAAAATGCTTGTCAGCGGTCGTTAATCGCTGTTTACTTTATGTAATTTTGTGTTTAAAACGCCCCACGCAAGCCCCACGTAAGTTAATGACGTGATTAGTTAATCATCCGACAAACGACGTTTTGTGCAACGCAATTAAGTCGTGTAGTTAACTAATCATAGTTATAAGGATTTAACTACAGTGATTAACGCTAATCATAGTTAAAGTTAACGACGTTTTTATACAACCTGCCCCTGGAAGATACACACGATATTAATTTAAATATTGTCCAACTACAGTGTGTTGCTTGACTATCTTGTTTTTTTGGTATTGGCAAGGTATTGTTTTCGACACGAGAACATAAATCCATATCTTCTCGCAACCGTTTAATGTTCTGTTTATTATATGGACTTATTCAGAGTGACAAAAATACACGCAATGATGACATGTAAGTAAGCTGCGAAAGACCACAGTATATAAAAGCGACATTTTTCAAATTATAGAGCAAACATAAAACTAGAATAAATTTTACTTGTCTCAAGTTGTCTTTTAAATTTTTTCGTTTGATTTCCAACGTTAATTTCGTTTTATATAACAACAATGAAAATGGCGGGAAATTTTCGAACTTCGTACGTTACTAGCAAGCGCGAAATACGGAAAATACGCGCACCTGAACGAGTGTGCCTGATCCTGCACGGCTATTGACCAATCAAATTGCGTGTTTCACTGTAGTTATTATATGAAGTACAGTAAGTTATGTACTGTTTAATAAACGAGCAGGAGTGTTTTATTAGGTTTAAAACCACGAGCGTGCAGCGCGAGTGACTTTAGACCCTGCTTTAGACCTAATAAAACACGACCTGCGAGTTTATTAAACGGCTTCAAACACGACTACAAATTCAATAGATACACTGCTTTGTTAGTATTCTTTATATAAAGAATACTAATGAGGACACGACTACAATAGATACTGTGAGCGTTGACCTGTCGCTGACAATGTTAAATCTGGGAACAATTTGAGGAATGTAAAATGTTGTAAAATAGCATTAAAAACATATCTGTTTCAACAATTTTTGAACGACTCTTAGTTTTTAACTAGTTATCTATTAGCATTAATATTGACTTCGTTTAGCACATTTGTTATTAATATCTGAAAAGCCCTTTTGGGAGATGTTAAAGTTATTAAATTAAATTAAATTAAATTAAAACTGCCTTATTAGTATTCTTTATATAAAGAATACTAATTAGGAGTGTTTTATCAGGTTTAAAGGCACTGCACGTGACATATTATGGTTGACATGATTTGCCAATAAGCGTATGAATTATGAATTATTAATGAGTGTTTGAAATATACATTAAAATTACCAAAGGTAACATATTTGTATAATCTTTTGACTGAGAAAAGAGATATTCTAGGGTTTTCCACCAATTTATACTTCAAGAGGTAGAGTACTTCCACCAGGAGGTTATATGTTTTCATATTTTAATACACACACCTCAGTTTATTTGTGTGTGCATTTGTTTGTCAGCAGTAATTCAAAAACTGTCAACAGTTTATTTGAATAATGCGAAGATTTGTGCGGTTAGTGGCCGTAGGCCAAGGGCAAATCTGTCACATTTTGTTTCAATTTCGACGAAAATTGGGAGAAAAATGTTCAAATGTAAATGGTTTTAGTAGTTGGAATTTTTGAACGAAAATTTGTATACAATTTTGGACCAAAGTAAGTGGGAGCATGCAGATGCGAAAAATGCAACTTCAGGTCACCCGTTCGTAAAATTCTGAACATGAAATTTGGTTTGTTTTTCCAGATGTGATTGACTATTATTTGGTTCTTACAGTGAGGAAATTAAACAGTTATGCACATGGCAATAACCACGTCCAAATTATCAAGCGTTCTCTTGGTTACCTTGTGTTTTTCATTCATTACGTTCGTCACTGGCGACGGAACAAAATGCCGCCAAGTAGGTTGTGGATGTCAATTTACTAATGAATCTGGAACGTATGAAATATCAATGGAAAAGCTCAAGACACATGGCACTCAGTAAGTACTTCTTACTTTTTGAACATTTGTTATTTTAATATTAAAATATCATTGATGCTATAAATAAAGCAGTACGTGTATGTAGTGAAAGAATGTAAACACTGTACTTCCGCAAATGGGTTGAGTGATGTTAAAACGCAGATGGTTATGACCAGGATTGTAGGTACGCAGTCCGTACTACCTCCTCCACAGGCGTTTTGTTATTAACTACCTCCGTGCGTTCGCGATAATTTAAGTGTGTGGGGATTTGTGGGCGGGGCGAGAAAGGCGGGGAAACGCCTGCTGAATAATTTTCGATTCTTGGGATTAAGGTGGCTCGCTACACTTTTTAAAAATTAAAGATTTTCTGATTTGGATATGAATTTCTGGAGAATTATTATTTGTTTAATCTGAAAACAAAGAGTACCTGACTTGTATAACACAATAGGTAAGGAGTTCAGAATTTTTAAAAAATTACTCCTAACTGCCGTTGCTATGGCAACAATGACGTCACAACATGGTGGATATTTTGTGTTTAAAGTAATTCAATTCGAAAAAACCTGGTGATTAGTAATTACTTCTTACTTTTTGAACATTTGTTATTAATATCGTTGATGCTAAATAAAGCAGCAAATTTATGTAGTGAAAAAATGCAAACAGTGAATATTACTGTACATCTGCAAATGGGTTGAGAGATAGTAAAACGCAGAGGACTGTTGTACAGTGGATGGTTTTGACCCGGATTGTAGGTACACAGTGCCGGTGCGTACCTATTTTTGGCATTGTCAAAAATGCTTATTTAATTTAAAACATCGATAACCCTTAGAAGTGCTTCCATCAAAACATCAGGTGTATACGCAATGCAATGTGGGACACATGTGTGTCAACTATCCATTGTCTGACACCTAGTAAAGTGATGTAAGGACTTTTAAGGTCAACTGATCAGTCTATTGTGCACGAAAATCTTATTGTAATAATTAAAATCAAAATTTTAGTTATATGCCTTTCTAAGTATATCAACACTTGTTTGAGTGATAGTGAATCATGTGTAGTGATTCTCGGATTCACTGTCAGAATATTGGGTCTTTCACCGTCTTTGCAAATTTCAGGTCTTTGGTTTGACTTTTCTTCAGGGCAGTTTCGACGAACATGACCAACAGCACCACATTAAGTAATTTTTCTTCTTTGTATTTCCTAGTAAGGCTGACTTGTTCTATAAAGCTGACTTGAACTTAGTTCCCTGCTTCGATTGTTCAGATAGACGAGCTTGTTCATTTTCACATCGTCTACTCTAGCTTCTAATGCAATTTTAAAAAATAGGTACTCTAAGGGAACTTATACTGTATCTGCACACACTGTTGACATAGGTGACCATTGTTTCACTGTTGTGGCTACATGTGGTTACTGTTGTTGTAGTTGTTGAGGTTGTTAATTAAATGTAGTAGTTGTCGAATAAAACATCAAAGGCGAGTGGAAGGTTCCGCGTGGCGGTTGTAAACAGCTGAAGACGAAAGATATCACTGTACGCTGGTACGAAAACCGAAGTGTGTTGTTGGATGGTCCAATGAAAGATGAATACTCCGATATTCTGCAAAGAATAGCCACTATTTCACCGAATAACATAAGCAATTTGGGAGTTGACGACTTTGCTGATGTATCACCCACGCATATGCCTTCCCTGCCGAATATTAATAACTTTATGGTAAATACGAACATGTCGAGTGCTGAACTGTTGGATTTTGATGCTTCTCAAAATGACTCTGCACACTTTTCAACTAATAATGGCGCTACAAATGGATCTGAGCAAACCCTTAAAGAAATTTCGATATGTGTGGAGGGAAACGCATTGGATGATGTTATGAATCGCTTGAATGCATTGTCTAACGAATTTGAAATATATAAATCCGAAACGACCATAGTATTGAACGAGCTTGTAGATGGGTATGAAATTCGTAATAGCCAAGTGAGAGATAATCAACTTGCCCAAGAAAACGACTTATTAAAAAAAGCAAATATGGCACTTAAATCTGACGTACGTAAACTTGAATGTCTATTGTCCGAAACCAGTTCTAAATTAGTAGCTGCGGAAAGCGAAAAAGCTAGTCTCGTGACGGTTATTCGGTTAATGAATGAGGATTGTGCTAATGCTGTTAAAGATGTAGGGGACAACGTTCGCAGTCAAACGACTCAACCAAGAAATCCATGGTGTACGGTTCATACAAGAAGTGAGAATCAAAAAGGTAACAAGGTTACAAGGCTGCACAACCAGTTCTCGTCTTTAGAGGACGAGGCAAATGAACTAAACAATAACAGTGACTTTGATGCTTCCGTAATTAATATTGATTCTGATATACAACAACCAACACCTAGTCAAAATATGTCTGAGAGTACAAGTAAATCTACAGAGCCCAAGGATGACAGAACGCAAGGTACAAGTGGTAACAGTGTCGAGTACCAAAGAAAGGTATTGCACTTATTGGGGATTCAATAATCAAAAATGTTAGTCCGGTAAAACTCTCAAAAAGGAAAGTTTATAAATTCACATATCCAGGTAAAACAACTATAGAAATAACTAATGAGCTTGCCAAAATTAATATTAAACCGGAGCCGTCTCATGTTGTTATTCACGCAGGGACAAATGATGTCCCTGTTGAATCTATAGACGAATGTGTTGGTAACATGGAAAAACTTATTACAACAGCTAAACAGAAATTCCCTAATTCTAAAATTGGAATTTCTGGACTTACATTGAGACAGGATAGTGATTTAATATCAAAAATAGAAGAAATTAATGAGAAAGTTCAGAGTTTGTCATCTAAGCATGATGTGACATTTATAAGTAATATGTCAATAGATGAGACATGTTTGAACTCTAGTGGCCTGCATCTAAATGCAAAGGGGACTGCCATACTAGCTACACATTTTATTAAGTTCCTTAGGGATGGGCAATCCTTAAGTTCACTGCGCCCACAAAAACATTCCCGTCAGGATTTTCCAAAGAACACGATAAACCATCTGGCAGAACTACTAAATGCGATAATGAACGTGAACAAGTAAATTGTCAAGATGTGCCAAGCAATTCTTTATTAGGCATAGATAGTGAAATTAACATAATCGCCAAAAGTAAAGGTTTGAAGATAGCCAACTTAAATGTAAATAGCTTAATGAAACATCTGGATGAAATTCACTTAATCCTTAACAATAACGCCCTTGACATTCTTGCAATTAATGAGTCCAAAATTGATAATCAGATTTCAAATAATGAGATACATATTGATGGTTTTAATATAATTCGTAAAGATCGAAATAGGTTTGGTGGTGGTGTGGTTCTATATGTTCGCCAAAACATATCATTCTCAGATAGAATTGATCTAATCCCTGATGAACTTGAGATGGTCTGCATTGAATTAAGTTTACCCTACAATAAATCACTGCTAATAAGCACATGGTATAGACCACCAAATTCTCTTATGAATAAATTTGATTACTGGGCAAGCTTTTTAGCAAAATGTGATAATGAAGATAAGAAGCTAATCCTCATAGGAGATCTAAATTGTGATGTCAGTAAAACTATACCTGACCCTCACACATGTAAGTTGCAATTTTTATGTTCTCTGTATCAGATAGACCAACTTATTAAAGAATCTACAAGGCTAACTCCTAAATCAGCTACACTAATTGATTTAATATTAACAAATAGACCAGAAAATATTTCCAGATCAGGTGTCATTCAACTGGGAATTTCAGATCACAGCCTTGTCTACGCTGTGAGAAAATTTACACTACCGAATGGAAGGCAAAAAATTCGTCCGGTTCGTAACTTTAAAAACTTTGTCGAAAATGATTTCATTCGGGATGTGTCTCAATTGCCTTGGGAGATGGTCTATCAGTTTGGAGATCCCAATTTATGTTGGCAAGTCTGGAAATCACTATTATTAGATGCACTTAATAGACATGCCCCTCTGCGCCACAAGCGAATAAGGAATAACCCTGTCCCATGGATTAATCCTCAAATTAAAGAACTTATGAGAAAAAGGGACTATCACAAAAAAAAAGGCCATAAAATATGATTCGGAGTCACAGTGGGAATTGTATAAAACACTACGTAATGAAGTAAATATAAACATGCGGAAAGCAAAATCTAAGTACTTTTGTGATAAAATCCAGGCAAGCTCTCAAATGGGAGACAAAGTGGATGGGCTTGGATAAATTCGCTCTTAGGAAGAAAGCATAAGAATACAAATATTAATGAACTGAAAGTAAATGATGATATTATTTCTGATGATAAATCTATTACTGAAACATTAAATGAATATTTTATAAATATTGGAATGAAGATGGCTGCTGAATCAGCATGTCAAAACACTGATGCTTTAAATGATCAAGTAATTTATGAAAGTACTGTGCTTCTTCCTAAAGAAAATTTTCACTTCGCAGATATTACTATAGATAGTGTTTCCAAACGCCTACAAAAACTAAATGTCTCAAAAGCGACAGGTATGGATGGAATACCTGCGAATATTTTAAAACTGACATCAACCCTTATTGCTCCATCTATAACTTTTATATTTAACCCATCGATTAGAACTGGTATTTATATAGATGAGTGGAAATTGGCTAGAGTTATACCAATTTACAAATCTGAGGATAAGCGTAAATGAGAAA